GAGACTCTAATTTATGGACGAGCGAATCAGAGGCGTTTTAGAGCTTTCAAGGTTACAGCGCCAACTTCAGTGCTTAATGTTAACGTACGATCGGTTAACAAGGAATTTTGTAAAAAACGTGATGATTGAGCGGCTATAACAAATAAAACGGTTAGACTTTAATTTATGAACGAATCAATCAGGTAAAAGATAATAGATCTCGGATTTTAACGCGAAAGCCTTTCATCCATTTGGCTAAATAAATTTCTGGCATTATGGCTGATGTCAGTTTGTGATGAAAACCCTACATATAATTTCGAACTAAGGCAAATTGTGACAATTATTGCGAACTGGATAATATAAGCACCAGCAACACTGGCTGTAGCCATGTACTACAATATATACTGATGTTTGGAGAGTGTGCAGACTCCTACATAGGTTTGGTTATGTGCATCGTGTCGTTATCTACAAGTAGCATTTTGTGCACTCAACAACCGGAGTGCACATAAACAATATTAAAGCTATGTGGTCGAGGCTGAAAGAGTTTTTGAGACTTTATCATGGCTCCAGAGGCCGGCTATTCTGTAACCGTATGGATGATTTTCTCTACTGCATGTATTACGATTTTAGAACCTTTAAACCTCTTTTTAACTTTGACAAGGTTTAGAACCGTGTATGAGAAGTGTATCCACTTTAGTTCCTTGGTTTTGTATAACATAATTTTACTTTGTACTGACTGCTGATTGGCTATTTCTCAAGGTCACTTATGATTCGTTCAAAAGTCGTCCATAAATTAGTCACGCCCTGAATTTAAGTGGAAGCTATAGTCGAGACAAAAGGTAAATGGATACAAAAATAGAAAAAACACTAAGGAGCTAATTAATCAATTTTTAGCATTTTATTTATTTGAACATGAGTATTGGTGCAAAGGGGGCATCGAATACATATGCGCCACACAAGTCACTTGATTTGTGTGAGGGCTGTAATACTGCCTGGGTGCCCAGACCGAAACGGGTTCTTTAGCAACACTCTTCTTATAAGTGAGCACTTTTTCACTATTAACTGATACGCAATGAAAAACCAATGAAAATTAAGAATTACCGGGTGGACGTTTTGGTTCAAATTGGAGCTCCTCAACATTACACAAAATACCGAACCCAGAATTTTAGGATTTTGTAGTAGGCACAACCCATCAGTTGTTGGGCAGCTGAACAGCAGCTTATAATTCGAATCTAGGCACTTGTGTTTTATTTTTGGACTTACATCCCGTTCTCGCATAAAAAACTAAAGTCAGCACACTGTTGATGTTTCGTAGTCAAATAGACAGCTCAGGATGCAAGTTCAGTGCTAAGAATTTACTGAATCTTTTTACAGAAACGTACAGATGGGAGCTGAATTTCGTTTATTTCTGTGGACTAGGAAGTCTGTAATCTCAGATCGGCACATTTTCCGAGCAACTTAAATCTCAATTACCTCAAAATGTCCTCTATTAACAGGTTAACTCATTATTTCGATAATTGCGTACATTAATTTATTAAAACATGCCATACAGCCTGCATGACCTAATTCTACACTAATTCCAAATAACACTACAGTGAATCAGAATATAGTCATAGTAGCAGTGACAGAAACTTGGTTAGTCGATGACTTAGACATTACTCCAGAATTATCCGGATACCATTGCATCAGGAGTGATAGACATAGATGTAGGAAAGGAGGCGGCGTCCTGTTATACATAGCCAATAGCATAAATATCCGCTCCTCTACTAGCGAATCCCATGATAGCGGTACTTGTGAAGTCATTAGCTGTAAGTTGGCTATCGGATGTAGTACATTTATGCTCGGTGTCATCTATCGAAGCCCAATCTGCCTAGCTGATGACTTTGTTTTAGAGCACATTCATCTTTGGAGTGAAAATATCAGATGTTTGATAGTAGGAGACTTTAACGCACCTGATATTAGTTGGACTGATATGACCACAGAAGGATCTATAAACTTCTTTGATAGTAAGTTCCTGACAACAATAATGGAGCATGCACTAGTACAGCATGTATCCCAACCCACACGTTTTGGTGTTAACCATGGTTCTTCTCTGCTGGATTTGGAAATCACTCATGAGACTGATATTGTCGACTTAAATATTCTCCCGCCGTTAATGAACAGCGACCACGCTGTTTTGTCATTCACGTTTCGAACTAGGGACATGTTATACGATCAGGTTACACCTCGCCCAAATGTATGGAAAGCTAACATATCAGCCATTCAGGAATGTGCTGCTAAGACAAATTGGTTAGTAAATACTAGCATATCAGTTGAAGAAGCATGGTCTGTATTTAAAGGTAAATTTAGACTAGTTACGTCCCCGTTCATACCATACCTGGTACCGCCACCGTCCACCATGGATAACTAAAACGGTCAGGAAACTCCTTAGAAAAAGGAAGAATCACTGACATATGTTCATCTCTACTGGCTTAGAACAATACAGATCCAGTTATTGTAAGATTAGGAATACCTGTAAAGCTTTAATAATTAAGACTAGACTATCATACGAAAAACAATTGGTTAGGGATTCTAGATATAGTCCGAAACGGTTATTCTCGTATATAAAAAGGCGAACTAAGAGAAGTGATGGAATTCCATCACTTTTGATACGAGAAAATCCGTTAATCTTAGCAGAGGATGATGCCGAAAAAGCTGAAGCTTTATCGGAATACTTTAGTAAAGTGTTTTCTATCGGTCATGAGGAACGACCAATGATTCGTCGCGACCGTGACGGCTCGCTGATGGATCCTGTAGTCATTGAGAAAGATACTGTTTTAAGGCTACTCCAGCATCTCAAACCTGATAAGTCCAGTGGTCCTGACGATATTCATCCTAGGATTATGAAAACCATATCAGATGACATTGCTGAACCATTAGCGATACTATTCGACATGTCTCTGAGACAGTCCAGACTTCCTAGAGACTGGAAAGACGCTATAATAAGTCCGGTGTATAAGGCTGGGGGTAGGGATCTAGTCAGTAACTATAGACATGTTAGCTTAACTAGTGCAGTTGTAAAACATGGAGAAAATCATTCGGATAGCTGTTATAAACTATGTTGAAGGGCAAAATCTTTTCTCCAGGGAACAATATGGTTTTCGGAAAGGCCTATCTTGCTTGACAAATCTTCTCATTGCACGAGAAGATTGGGCTGCGGCAAAGGATCGGAATGCTCCTGTGGATGTGATTTTCATAGATCTAAGTAAAGCCTTTGATAAGGTTTTCCACTCTGGTCTTAAATTCAAACTGAAACGTTTTGGAATCCATTATACAGTCGTCGATTGGATAAGTAACTTTCTCCATGACAGGAGACAAAGGGTAAGGGTTAATGGGGCTCTCTCCTCGTGGGTACCTGTAAAAAGTGGGGTTCCCCAAGGTACAATCCTGGATCCTCTTCTCTTTTTACTTTATGTAAATGAATTGCCAACTGTAGCAAAATCATCCGTTCTACTCTTCGCTGATGACTTAAAGATTTGGGGACTCATACATTGTATGTCGGATAGGATAGTATTACAGGACGATCTTAGCTCATTGGTGGCATGGTTAGATAGGTGGTTACTAGAAGTAAATCCTAATAAGAATGTAATGATGCAGTTAAATAACTCTGATGAATCGTGTGACTATACACTACGTGGATTCATGCTACCAAAAGTAAGAAACTATAAAGATTTAGGAGTCATATTAAGCAATGATCTCAAAACGACTAGTCACTGTAAGGCTGCTGCTGCGAAAGGCTATAGGGTATTATGGTCAATTCGTAGGTCTTTCCAGTATTTAGATGATGAAATGTTTAGATTACTATACCCGACTTATGTGCGACCACATTTAGAATACGGGATTCAAGCAGCGTGTCCTTGTTTCAAATATGAAGCAGATATGCTAGAAAGAGTCCAACGACGAGCTACTAAGATGGTAAAAGGTCTATCTGGCCTATCTTATGAAGACAGACTGAGACACCTTAACTTATTTCCGTTATCTTACCGTAGAATAAGAGGTGATCTAATATTGGCCTATCGTATACTGAACGATGACCTTGGTATTAACATGTCTTATCTTTTGCTCCCGTCTAGAACCGATCATTTGAGAGGACATTCGAAGAAAGTTCAAAAACCAAGATCAAACCGTTTACGTCTGGAGTCCCGTTTCTAGCACCGAGTAGTGAATTACTGGAATTCTCTACCGGAACACGTAATATCAGCACCATCTGTTAATATATTCAAAACGAGATTGGACCTCCACAGTATTACAAACTGCAAGGATTAATATAGGTCGACAGATCTATCCTTATTACTGAATACTGAATAACAGTATTGACAAGAATTTCAACACGGTCACAAAACGATCGAGTGAGTTCAACGAAATAACGGGACCTATATGATACTAAGATAGTAAAGACAAAGGATTTGACTGCTGCACTTTTAATTTTCATCTGAAATTAGAGAGCGACTAAATATTAAAAGAAGAGTTTGAGATATGGCAATTCCATTAGACATTTGTCAAATGGTTAAACTTATCATATATCAAGGCACATGAGTCGGGTCCGATAACAGTGAATTCGGAAACCACAGTGAAAATTGCTATGCACATAGATGGATCATGTGCTTCAATAGGACTTCAAGTTATCATTTTATTGCCTTCTGTTTACTAAATGTGATCCATTCACATATATTGAGTATTTAAGTGGTAGGATCGACCGAACAAATGGTGCCAATTCGACCTTACTGTGACCGAGCAAAACAAATAATTCTCTTCTTTTTTCATAGAATACAAAGCGATCTCATATACATATCCCGTACCTCAAATAACAACTTGTATGTTAGCAAGTCTTATCTTTCTGGTCTTCTTAGAACGGACCATATTCGAGACCATAACCTGAAACGTTTATCGAGTAGTCGACTGGGGCACTCTACGTCGAAGTTACACTAATATCACTGAACATACGTTAAGAAAGAACAACCACAATGCTTACTGCAACATACCATGACCTTCTGTATATATGGAAACTAAATTGACCGCTCGGCAATGCAGTCTCAAATCAATTTCGGTTTTGGAAGGACAGGCTAGGTGGCCAAGTGTTGTCCTGGAGATGGTGATCTCTCAGCTGATCCAATTTGCTTTTGAGTGCGTAGATAGGTAGAACTCCAATCACGTGTTGAGGTAGTGGATTCCATTCGTTGATGATTCGATGAGAAATTCGATAATCAGATGCTAAGTAATTTATTCTGGGATTGTGAACATTTTCAGTGTCCTTGTAAATTTTATGTTCAGAAGGACGAGAAAAATGAGAATATATTAAATACAAACTTGTCGCTAAGTAATTTAAAAACTGTGATCAAGTCACCTCTGATTCTTCTTTATGAAAATTGAAATAAGTTTAGTTTAGCCAGTCGAGTATTTTACGGCACGTTTCTTATTCTGGGACTCGACTCAGTCGCAGTTCTTTGAACCACAGGGTTCCAAACATTTTAGTGGCTATATCATGGCAGTGACAGTAGTTTTTATATTTCAATAGACCAACTACAAGACGGAGTCGTTCTATCAAAATTTATAAAAGTAACTAATTACTTTCGAGTAGTTTTTAAGCCCCAGCCAACGATGACCTGTAGATCATTATGTGTTCGGATAATATGTAGTTCAGTTTTATTCATCGTATATGTCTCAGTGCCCGTTGATCAATATAGATCATAATGTACGTGGATGTACTTATCAGCAACTGCTGTATTCTAGACCGTTCTGGTAATTTCTGTAGATCATTTTGCAGCTCTAAACCGTCACCCTTATTTTCTATCGCTTTCTATATCTTGACATCTTCAGCATAATACAAAGCCGGTGATGATGTGGGACTAAGAAGGTCATTTACATACACGCGAAACAACAGTGGTCTCATAACTGTACACTAAAGCACTCCGGTAAACACAGTTTTACAGCTAGACAAGTTGCGGCTCACCTTTACTCTTAGTTGGTGCTCAGCTAAGATATTCTTTGTCATAATAAATAAAATGCCTCTAATCCCGATGTTACCTGACTTACATAGCAGCTGGTGGTAAGGAACTTTGTCAAAAGCCTTGCTAAAGTCAGTATAGGCCACACCTTTAGATAACTTTTGATCTTTAACGGTGCATCAACCTTCATGTGCTTCTAATAATGAGTAACCTGCTCTAAAACCATGCTATTATTCCGAAAAAATTCGGCCTTATTCGAGATAAGTAGACAGCTCCTTCCGAGCAATCTTTTCTAAGATTCTAACAACCACGCTTGTACCTGTTTTGAAGATAAGACTTACTATATCATATTTTAGTCTTTTGATAATCCACTTCGGATTACAGATAGAGTAAAAATTACTCTGAAGGTATTCGTGACAAAAGTTGCTAGTTCTGTTTGTAACCTAGGATGTATTTCATTGGGTTGCATGGATTTGCCTATATTAAGATCATTTAGCAGACCAAAGGTATTGAGTTCTTCAGTGGTCACAGCGTTTAATGTGTGTGGCTCGTAAGGAATGAAGAGGAGAGTATATTTACGTTATATACATTGCTAAAGTAACTTGAGAATGGCTGAGATTTACTGTAATCTTCCTCTACTGATGACGCAACACTCATATCTCCCCATAATATTGGAATATTTCCTATTTTCCTAGTCAATTGGTTTGTGTAGAAATATTAGCGTTTAGGGTATTCTATAGATTTCTTACTAAGTTTTTCTTGCTGCAATCTTTTAAACTTCCAGATGGTCGAGGCACTATTATTTCAAGCTTCCCGATAATTTGATTTTTTCATCTCAGTGACCTAAATCTCTCACACATTCTTCTCCTCTTACGGAGAAAAGCACAAACCCTTTTGCTAAACCACGGTGTGGAATTTCTCTAACTCTTTGGTACAGTCTACGGGATTTGTGGTACAGTGACTTTTGTGCACAAATTTCTGAATACATCCAAAGACGTTCCAAATGGGGACCCTGACAGTACTGATCAGTTTACTGAGGACGCTAAATGTACATGTCGTATATTTGCTCTCCAGACGTTTGGTCTGGATTGGACTGGCAAACTCGTTATTGACAACTATATGGAAATCAAAGGCTAGAGCTACATGGTCATCTTTACATAGGGGTAACATATAATGGGAGTTTGCAACATCATTCTCATGATCTGTCAACGTGAGATGTAGTAAGGATGGTTTGGAGTCCGGGTTGTACCTCGTTGCTTTCTTCACATGTCACACTTGTACATATGTAACAGCTTAGGTTGGCTGGTTAAGAGTTCACCTCAAACAACTAAGCATATGTCAAAACAGTATATTTCAAGTATTCATCCACTTCCTTATTTTGTATAGGCGTTATATTTTCTATTATCTTATACTGAATGTTGAAAGGCTTTGTTTGTCTGAACAAATAATTCCAACGCCCTACTGTGACTGCGCGAAGATCTAAATAAAGACCTATTCACTACCTGTCTGGTTTCTTCTATCAATGTCACGAGGGTTACCTAGAGGCACGTAACATATATGATAACCGCGTCAACTAGTTTTTGTTTGTTTCCTAAGATTAAGCATCCACCAGATAGCTCGAATGATTAAACATAATAGTGAAAGAAGCTTTTGTTAACAGGTTCTCATCCCCTATGCAAGCTAATCATTGATAAATTCAAGTAGAGTCCTGAATATATAGGGTGATCTAAACAACACGTTGTGTCGTGGTTAGTTTTTAGCATTAGATAAGAATTTTCCCTCTCAAAATCCCACAGATTTCTTTCCGATCTTTAACTCAGTATGGGGTTAGAGAAGTTTATTAGTTACTAAGCGCGAAGGGTATGTCAACAATCAAGCCGGCTATGTTGAGCTTCTTATTTTATCGTATCCCCTCTATGGTTTTTGTTTGTAGTAAAATAGCAGGTCTCAGAGAACACATTCATGTGGTTATAATTTTTGGGTCGTCGCTGATATTTTCCTTGAATCTGAAAAAGAATCTGGAAGGGATCTCGTGGTTAGTCTGTAACAGCATAGGTTGGTTGGTTAAGAGTTGACCCTAAACAACCAAGCATATGCCAAAACAGTATTGTTCAAGTATTCATTCACTTCCTTATTTTGTATAAGCCTTATATTCCTTATTATATTATATTGAATGTTGAAAGCATTTGTTTGTCTGAACGGATAATCCCACGCTCCACTGTGACTGCGCGAAGAACGAAATAAAGACCTACTCACTACTTCTCTGGTTTCTTCTATCAATAGTACGAGGGTTACCTATAGGCACGAAAAGTCTTCGGATGTGACCTGACTTATTCCCATCCTTTCGGAGTAGATAAGATAACTGTATGTTGTCATACTCTTGGTGAGGTTGAGTGGAAAAAATTAACATGTCGGATCGACCTGTTTAATGAGCAAAACACTGTCCAGTGCGCCATACGATTATATAATCCCACTGTATTAGTTGACTGATCGGAAATGCGTCTTTGTATAAAAGTATCTTGCCATAGCTAGCATATAATTTTAAAGCGTCTAAATTTGAAGAAACGTGAGCTTGATGATAATAGTACCGTGAACAGAATATAAACGGTTCAATTTACATTAGTCGACAGATGACCAATTTAAGTGCTTGGTATTCATCAAAGCTCTTCAGTCATCACAAAATGCTGAGATTAGAACTAAACTTTGAAACCAGCTGGATCAAGATCCAGACGTTATTACTCGTGACACTTACATGCGAATGTAAATGGCTACAAACAATCAGACACGACAATGGGTTGGATGAGCAGGTAAATCCGCAGATAATTTTCACTAATGTCAGTTCTACCACGGGGTTGAAACCTCACAATATTCGGGAAACTTCATAATAAACAAACTTATGACTGTTGGTTATGCGGTGCTTGACATAATATGCGATTCTGCCTATTTAAGTAGCATAAATGTCAGGTAGGTCACTATCCACCGAGTCGCACTTACAAGACCAAGAAAAAAAAAAAGATATCCTCGACACGAGCCAAAGTCAACTGAATCTAAATCATTTTCTTCGGTAGCAGTTTTTAAAGCAGACATTGACATTCAGAGTAAGTATGTCGTTATCGAAATTAATATCACATCAACGCATCCTCAAACTGAAGCGGTATAGAATGCCATCTTAGTGTCTAGAGAAATGTATAACCTGCTTGGGAAGACATCAGCGAAACCATCTATAAAGACTTCTAAAAACTCATCAGGTGGAGTATTAAAACTGGCTGGCGAATTACAGAGTGAATTTACTGTTATTATTATTATTAATGGCTTTATTCAATATTATGTTTTGGTACAATATAGAATTCTCAGCACAGGGTATTTCAACAAACTACTTACGCAAAAAACAGTAAGAAATACAAAAAATGAATAAAAAAGGTTTTAAAAAAACCGAAAAACTGTAAAACTTTTCAAATTAAAGACATTTCAAGAATGCAGGTTATTAATTAGGTTAACTCTAACAACCTGTTCGTCACAGAGCATATTTGCTAGGTAACGTATTATAGAACGTTTATACATTTTTCTTGCGTGATGGATTTTAATGTAATTACGTCTCATTCTACCAGAAGCTACTCTACATTACTATAGCAACTGAGAATCGTACTTTGGTGGAGTTTTGTTCTCTGAGCTTAATGGCTAGGTCGTGGAGTATGAGTCATTTCATTGTTTGTTGATTGTCCTAAGTGCCATGCTTCGAAAAACGCTCTGATGCTTTCAGTATTGCCCCTTTTCCAAGATTCCAACATTTTTCCAGTTGAATCAGGAATCAGATCAATGGGAGATACAATCAAAATGAGGAAGTAGACAATGAAAAATTAAAGGTGAACAATAACCAATCAAGATCGAGGTCGAAAGAACAAGCTGTAAGTCATATCTAGAGAAATTCGAATACTTTACTTCTACTTGAAATTTGCGCTGATGATGTTGTTCTGAAGAACAATGAAAACTCCACGACTAAGCCATTATTATTATTATTATTACTATTATTATCATTACTATTATTATTAATGGCTTTATTCAATATTATGTTTTGGTACAATATAGAATTCTCAG